TCTCGCATGTTTAACACAAAACGGTTAATGAAAACCCTTAAGCGCAATAGGAAGCTTCAAAAAGATGTCAAAAAACTTTGACTAGAAGAAAAATAACCAATCGCATTTTTTCAGTCATTAGGGATAATTTGGCTCACCTAAATTTGGAGTAAATGGTTTCTCATAACCATTTGCAAAATAAAAAGACTCAAACATAGCCAACAAAAAATATATCAAGTTAAAGCTTTTCGAACTTCAATAAGTAATGGCCCAGCTAAAGCTGAAGATAACTCTTTGATATTTTTTGGAATACTGTAAAGATTCGAAGGAAAAGCGCAATGAGAAATAAAGAGGGGCCGACGATATAAGAAGAAATTAATATGGCTAGTTTGTAACAAGACCTCAACACTACAGATACAAAAAAATGATAATGGATGGCGAAAGTCAAAACTATAACTTGGGAGCTCAAACGACTTGAAGAGAAGCTACGAAAGCTGCCAGTATATTAGTGGGGTTCAGTTCAACGCGACCTTAATTCCAAAATCCCTTGTACGGTAAAACTTCATCGACACTCGCAAACAGTCTCGCGAGCTTTGCTCACGAAAGAAAAAAAGCGAAATTTCATGCCAACAAATAATCAAACTTTGAAACATGGTTGTACACTAACGCCCAAGACAAAATATTTCAGTTAAAGAGAAAAAAAAGGAAAACTTCTACAATCGGCTAGTTCGATTGATTTTTTCTCATGACACTAACTTTTTTCTACAAACGTTAAAGCATAGCTAGCCTATTGTGCAGGGAAGAATCCCATAACTAAATCATTCGATTGAACCTTGAATGCCAGTTGTGGGAGGGTAGTTTTCGAGAGAATGAAAAACCAAAAAATGGCACATAAATTCTTAGATCGTGGGGTAAAGTAAAAAAAAAGAGACTGGGGGAAACATTTTTTGATAATCGATACAGCTAGAAATTCTCAAATCGTCTCAAAAAAAATCTTAGAAAATTAAAAACACCAAATCACATACACTTGCATAATATCCGTCGTTTTTATCAAAGTCGAATTGATTATGACTGGCGTTTTTTTTTCAAGTTCACTTAGAGAAAACAAGGTTGTTAAATAATTTTCTTATTCCGCCAAAAATTCATAAATGTAAAGTCCGGGAAATTTCATATTGAAACTAGAAGTCATTCACATTTTTTTTACTTTTACACTTATGAAGTTCGATAGTGGAGGTTGCTTTCCATTTAACAAAAGAAATAAGCAGAGCTTTTGAAGAAATCAAGAATCAAACCACGAAAAATCAACTTGAGCGTTAAGACTTTTTCCAGAAAAAAACATCACGAACTAAAAAAGTGACTTCGTTCATTTATGCTTAAAAATTTCAATCAAAAAAATCATGCAGTTAAAAAAGTGTCAAAAACGCCAGAAAAAAAAAGAGTAAATACTCGCTTGTTTTTTTAAGTTTCCAGTTTTAAAGAAAAAACTTATGAGAAACGCTTTCTTGATTAAACTAAAGTCAGTTTGAGAAAAATGGATCGATAAATTTTGAAACCTTAAACTACAAAATCAATCGAAAATTTTTCGTTCAAAAATCTGCTAAAAAAGTGTTGGCGAAAAAGCTGTAATTTGACTGAAACCACACAGCACAAAACCTAAATCCTTTCCCGGGAGTCGAAACAAAATTTAGTGATCGTGTGCTCAGTAGCTGGAACTATTACGCTAAACAAGATGAAACAAAAGGCATTTTTAATTTTAAAAAAACCTGAAACTGAACGAGAAGTGAAACACAAACGTAGCCAACAAAAAGTTGGAAAAGAGTCAATGAAAAGACCGAATCAGAAAATGATTCCGAATCAAAAAAATGAAAAATATTCGAAGTAGAAAATAAATCGCCTCAAATCTCTCGAAATTTCAAATAACTTACGATTGACACTTTTTTGATTTCATTGACTCAATTTGAGAAAACTAGATCATAAAAGTAAGTTTTTATTTTGCTGGGAATTTGAAAAACAAAATCCACTTTTGAATTTAGAAATTGGTGAACTGAACTTAACAAGGAAACAAAAGTCAAACCGCGAAAAGCCAAACTTGAGCGTGAATATATTTTAAGACATTTTCTGAAAAAAAAATCAAAACAAAACAGCACGACCTATATAAGAGTCTTCACTACGTTCATCGACTCTTAAAAATAACGATTCCAGAAACAAACCGCATTGTGATCCATCTATTCCAAATCGTTCAAATCACGCTGTAATAAACACAATTAGCACTTTAAACCAAGGATAGCCGGTTACTGAGCAAGTAGCACACAATGTTCCGACCATGGTCTTAAAAAAACTAGTTTAGAAAGTATTTTTTTTCCAAATTATTGTAGTTGTGTTCTGCTTGATGTGATAAAAGGATATGACATAAAAATATACTTCAGACACATTAGGCAGTAATAATAATGTAGGCTAATTGGAAAAAAAATTGTAGAAAAATGACTGGAAAAACTAAAAAAAATTGCAGAAATTTTTTGATTTTTTTTTTCAAAGTTTTTAATTGAAGCTAAAAAAAAACTCCAAAAACTAGTTTTACTTGCTAAAAATTAAGTTTCAAGGCCTCAAATTAGGCATAATTCAGCTGTTGTAAGCCTGCTCGAATGCTTCATTTGCACAAATTATGACGAAAAATCACAAATTTCAAACCGTTTTTTCTCAACGCTGGGAAGTTTTGTTGATAACTTTTTAATGTGGTTCGAATCAGGACTGAAAATGCTTTAATATGATATATCATTCAACCCAGTCCGATAATTATTTGTGGTACCTGATTTTGCGTGGTCGGAACAAAAACGGGAAATGAACCAGCGAAAACGGACTCTAAAACAACTTTTTACAATAGTTTTGAGAAAAAATTTAGTATGTAATAGCAATGATGTAAAGGTATGAACCAGGTAATATGAAGCTAGTATCGGCAATTGTACGTGTCGGCAACTGTACGGTTTCTAAAGCTATGAGGCAAAAACTGTTTTATGGCAAAAAGTCTAGAGCCCAATCACAAGGCACCTGCTCTTGCAAATGTAATTATAGCCACGTAATATGGAGAAGAATCAATGATGGAGAAGAATCAAAACATCCCGCTACAGCTCTAGAAATTTAGGAACCGTTTATCGAAAAAGCTCAAGACTTTCTGAAGTCAGACCGACTCAAAAAATTTTTGCTTTCATTTGTTCAGGTAGCAACCCAAGCTTACAAAAAAAATCTTCAAATTAAAATTGTCCGGAAAGATAAATAAAAATAACCGGCTCGATTACCAATCAAAATTTGTTCCGCCCTGTCTTTTGAAAAAAGAGATTTTGTAATTCTTTTGATGAAATTGTCGAAAGTCGTTGGCTGTTGCAGTGTAAAATTTTAGCTTAAATAATGATGCATAAATTCAGAATTTACGTTTCGAAAAGGCCCAAGTGAATTCCATCATACAAAAAGTCAAAGGAGCAAAACAAAATGCTATTTTCGGAAGAAAAGGCTGATTTGCATTCCTTTCGTGCTATGAAATTTTAAAGCTAATTTATAGTAACACAAAAATTGCATTCAAATTTCATTTTATCATTCTTGTATCTTTCGCAAACCTCAGCATCTGTTATCGACCTAACTCATTGCTGTCTGCCACCAAGGTATTCCCGAAACATAAACACCCCTAAAAACTGTTTTCCAAAGTCAAATCTGAGGACACCTCAACTTTCGGGCATTAATTTGATTTATGATTTGATCGCTTTTCAAATTCACAAACATTTTTTGATTTCTATTTCTGAACAATCGCCAGTGGCGGTGTCTTTTATTAAGTAACTTTTAGTTTCATTCTTATTTCGGGATTAAAACGGTGCTATCATTTAAGGGTTCAATATTGAACGAGGGTCAAATATGAGTTCAAACATCTGTGTAGTGATAAGACTTGAAATTGAACAAGGGAATCATGAGATTGGCAGCTTTAAAAATTGGAAACATCTGTTAAACGCAATATCCTGACATTTAGATTGCTGCAATCAGTTTGAAACAATTGTCATCTTTTTGTATAGAGCACAAAGACTAACAAGGCACAATAAAATGAACGCTAGAGCATTGTTAATAATTTTGTCAGGATTTCATATGTCACATTCGGTGAGGACTCCCAATTGTCACTTAATTGTAGGCCAAAATTTCACACATATTAGAAATAGATTTTTTTAAAATCATTTCAGAACTCTTTTAGATTGATCAGTTCAGCTCGTGGTGATTAATTGTCACTTTCAGCAAGAAATAAAGGTCGTTTATGGTCGTTGATATCACATTAATGACATTCTTCAATCCGAATTGTCGTGTAACTAAATCGCTGCTGGTGATAAAGCCTGATGTTGAGAATAAAACAATTATATTGCATAAATGAAACACTTGAAGTACATAGTTTTGTTTGAAATGATTACCAAAATGGCACATTTTTGTGATCGAAAGTTGGTCGCGTATCTTCCAAACTAATCCTGGTCGAAAAATTTGAAAATACAGAACACACTCACTGAAATTGCACAAGCTAAAGAGTTAGAAACGCTGTTGGCGAAACGGAGCTTTTTGAAAGAGATAATAGCTGAAAAACTCCACGTTTGGTGAGAGCGCACAACTTTGGAAAATTGTGAAAGCGAAACAATGGAAGTGGGTTCCTCTTTTTGAGTAACCAAGAACTTACGTAGCATTATTATTCAATTTTCATTCCAATCAAACTTCGAATCTAACATTTCGCCCCCTTAGATTTATTGACACCTTTCTCCCCAAATTTATCACGGGAATTTGTGTATAAGATATAAGTGGCTAAATGTGTGAGGGGAAAAATGGCCCATTAAATTTAAGATGGGCTAAATGTGTTAGATGCGAAATAAAGTAGACCAAATCTGATACCTGAAAGAAGTTACTATAAATCATTCAATTGAAAAAAAACTCAAAAATTTCTCCCTTTTTTATAAGTTGCATGTACGTTTAGAACTTTCGCAAAAATGTAACCTTTCAACTCATACCTGTGGAGCCAAAACGGGTCGGTTTTGAGTCTGCTGTCTGTTTTCGATTTTCACTGGCTTTGGAGGCTCTTTAAAACCTCTGGTACTATTACAAGAAGTTTTGCTTTGAATGTCTCTGTTCGCTCCACTAGCATACTTCTGGTCGTCTTTTGTGCTTTTTGGGTATCCACCCCAGGAAGTTGCTTCTGTAAGGGAAGGCGTCTTCGAAACCGGTCTCGAATCCATTTTGGGTTGACTGAATGGTGTTCTACTTCCCGAAGACAGTGTATTGCCAACATCTTTGACCTGGTTGTTGCTTCCAAAGCCTACCCGTCCCTTTTGACTATGTTCCGCATTCGCAAGATATTGATTCTCAGGCCTCGTGTTTGGGTTGCTTCGAGGTGAAGCCAGGTTTTTTCTTGGAAATAAATCTCGCTGTGGTTGAAAAGAATTATCAATCTTTGGTGGGACAGCCGGTTGGTTCCGATTCATTGAGGGCTCATCTCTCGAGCTAGATGAAGTATCTTTTCTTTTTCTATCCAAAGACTCGGATCTTGAATGCATTAGTGGACGAATTGACTCGTCTGTTGTTTTGTTCTGTGACGCGGATCGCCTTTGGTGTTCATGCTGATTTCTGTTTCCCGAATCTACCATAAATTTGCCTGATTCATCTGTTTTACTCAGACCTCGCGAAGAAGCTATCGGCGACGAAGAAGCTATCGGCGCTCTCTTTCTATCTGCCCAATTTTCATGAATTGAAGAACTGTCGACGGGCAAAGGTTTTTTAAACCTATCTTCATCGTTTATTTTCCCTGCATTACTGCTTCTTGATGGGTGGTTTTGAAATTTTCTGGGTTCTGAATTTTGAGCAGCGCCTCTACTGGATCCAGCAAATAAGTCTGCAGGCTGGTTTGGTATAATAGGAAAAGTTCCATTTTTGAACTCCTCGGGTAAGTTAATTCTTGCATTCGAGGACTTCTTCGATCGAGAAGTTTCGGCAGGATACGAGTTATCGCGGCCTCTATCATATCTGTTGTTATCCCTCTGGTCAGAACTGGCACTCCTGAGTTCCGACCCTCGGTTACTCCTCTGGTAATCTTGTCCTCGCTCACTTTCGCGCCGGAATCTATCGTCCTTGAAACCGCTGTCTCTTTGATCCTGAGTGTTTTGACGATTTTGATCCCCCGGAGGAAGCATCTGTCCTGTTCTTCGGTCGTCAAAAGGAGGTTCTTCTCGTGGACGCCTGCCAAAACCTACTTCAGGTCTTCCAAATCGAGGCTGTTCTCTAGGGGCAATGTCATAACTACTTCGATTGGGTATTTCATTTGAGTAATTTGACTGGAACGACCGGCTATCTCTATTTTGATATTGCGGCTCCGATCTACTCCAGTTTTGCGCCTCGTTTCTTCGATCTCTATTATCGTTGTTTTCTCGCATAATAAGGTTATTTGTAGATTGCCGATAAGAATCTGCTTGATTTTGCCCTGAGCTACTTTGATATTCCTGGTATTTATAGTTCCGACTCGAATCAGAGAGCGATACCATAGCTTCCCTTTTCAAAGGTTCCTCCGATTTCCGCCAAGTGTCGAGGCCTTCGTGCTGTCTATTTTGATAACTATCTCTGCTGATCTCATTGTACGTATGTATGCTGCGACTATTCGACATGTCAGAGCTAGCAGCGTATCGTTGACTATCATTCCAATGAGTGCTTTGAAGCGGTTGGGATCTGGAATAACGACTTTCAATCGGTGGGACAGTATTTGCAGTATTGCAGGGAAGTGAAACAGGTAAATAGTTATTTGGAGGCAAACTATTTGGCTGCACAGCTTCATAACTCGGTTCTCTGAAATCATTCCGACCAAACGTGTCCACGGATTTATATTGAGAAGAAATGTTTCCATCTGAAAGCCGGGAAACGTTCGCTCCAACTGACAATTTAGGAGGATCAGGGAAACGAGGGTAATTTGTATTATACGCTGGTGCGCCGAAACTGGACGCGGCAGGTAAAGAAGCTCCTGCTGCAATGGCACCGGGAATTACAGGCGGTGGTGGGAAAACTTTGCTCAGATTCGGGTTGCTGGGGTCTCCCAATACTTGAGAGAAGGGCGTTGTATTGGAATTGAAAACTGGAGGTGGAGCAAGTGGGTACTTCGGAACAGGTGCCTTCTGGGAGATTGAATGAGTTGGGTTCAATGAGATAGGCTGGGGGCGAGTAGTGAAAGACGAACTGCTGCTGTAAATGTCTTTTGATCGGTTGAAATCATCATCGTCGTCCTCAACAACGATGGCAACTCCGTCATTTTTAGGAAAGGATGTTGCCATTGCGTTCATATTGAAAGCGTTGCTCTGTGGAACATTGCTGGTTGGCATCATCCCAGCTTCCAAACATTGCTGAAACTCCGCGAATGATAGCACGCGATTCATAGTGATCCTGAAAGCCTTGGAATTTTTTAGATATGGAAGTGATAATGTAACATTCGTCTACTGCAGTCACACATGAGGCTTAAGAAAAATAGGCCCTATAACCACTGGCTCAAGGGTCAGGGACACCATCTCTTGTGTTTTTCTACCTCAAGAACGGTCGGAGCCAGTTCGGTTCGTTTGTGACATGAGACTACGACCCGTTACAGCTTAAAGGCTACTACTAAAATATCCCCCTACTCTAGAACTAATAACGTCCCCATACTCAGGTCTCTAGATACCCAAAATACATGAACGCCGTTAAAAACCGGGTTGGAACAATCCGTTAAGTTACTTTTTATTAGACAGTGGAACTTTGATCCATTTCAGATGGATCAACCTAAAACTCGCCTTACCTCAACATAATGATCATAAAACACACTCTAGAAATTTAAATTAGTACTCACATTGTAGCACACTCAAGAAGGGGAAGTACTTCAGTCGGTAATTAACTCAAGAATTAAATAATGTAACTAAATGAGTTTTAATGTTTTTCAGTTTCAATAACAAGGACAAGTCTTAACTCTAGGATATAGTTTCTCGTGAACCATTGGGACACTCAAGTTGTCCACCTTTCCGTCGAAGGTTCACTCTGGTCCAGCTCAAATAATTGTTCTCTCGGGAATACTCTGTCTTCTATTTCAGATAGGACAGCTCTACTCTTGTTCACTATGATGGAAATTGCGAATGGCAATTTCCTACCGATTTTTCTTGCAACTTTCCCGCGTTTTTCACTCGAACGTTCTGACTTCTCTTTTTTGATTTTCAGTTATCGCGAGAAAATCGTGCATGACAAGTTCCATTCGAAATTTTGAAAAACTAAATTTCACTCCAAAATCAAGTGTTTTTTGCTTCTCTCAAGGTCAAACTTCCGAATATGACCGACTGGCACATACTCCCCGGACTCGAGATCGATGTCCTCATCGCGTGCTGTCTTCTGCCAGTGAGTCCCAGAAAACCGAGTGTTACTCAAGATACAGTGCCAGTGGTCATTTACAGAAGTTTGCAGCAGACTTAAGCTTATCTACACCCCAAAATTCACAGCCATGTAAAATTTTCACACTATCGCTAAACAGCAATCAAAATCTGCACACACCTGCACCCTTGATTTCTTGCTTTCCAAGCCAATCATTTAAAATTTCTTTTGTCCTATTCAATCAGGAAATTGTCATGCAGCATTTTGATTTATATAATAAACATAGTATATTAATAACAATATTTGCTTTGTTAAAATTTCTTTTTCGCGAATCCAAGTTTCACCCGGATCCACGCTCAAGCCCCCCTTTCCCTCTCAAGACTCAAGATCCATTCGAGCCACCTGCTCATCTCGCACTCTTCGCCTTGGAGGTACTGCACCCTGAAGTACTAGATACGGCAAACTGTCTCAACAGTTCCTCTTCATCATCGGAGCTAATCACAATCTCCTCCCAAGCCTTCAGCTGCTCGTAGGATCGCATCCATTCTCTTTGCTCTTGCAACCTCTTTGCTTGGTTGGGTAGTGCCTTCACCCTAGATTCCCGGTTCAAACAAAAGGAGTTGTGCAGGCTCAAGCTCACGTTCTTTGCCAGGTCCTCCTCTAGTATCGATTCCCTCGCCTTGGTATTGTCTCTAGACATTTTACCCACTCTCTTCCATCCTGTCGTGATTGCATTACGATGGGTTAACAGGGGTCTCTTGAAAGCTTCCGGCCCAATCTCGGCCTGGAACTGTCGATACTCCTTTCGATGTTTTCTCATGTGATCTTTCGTTGTCATGTACAACCAGGACGTCAGCGTCGCCCGAAACGATGGGAAGTACCTCAAACGGCTCCAGACATGTCTGACTTCCGTTGGTATGGCGAATACCTTGCACGCAGTCTCAAACAACTCGAGTCTCCTACTGTAGTCTATCGCGTATATTGACTCTGCCGTTGGCGTCCCCGCTTCCCGATACTTCGTTATATTCTCTTCTATCCATCTCAGAGCCAAGATCGTACTCACTACCAAGATCGTCACCTTCTGTCGGTGATCCGGTAGTCCGATCGACCGGATTTCTTCCATATCCCACACCAGGCAAAGGTTCTTGTGATCTGAATACCACACCGTTTGCGCTAAACAGTGGCATGGGCATTCTCCATGGGTGATTTCAATGCTCCTGAGGTTACGCTCCCCCGAGGCTTCCAAGAGAGGCTCAAGCTCCATCATTTTCTCATGCATCGTGTCGTTATCTTCCAGGTTTGGAGCACTTCCCACAGGTTTTCCGATCACGTTTTGTCTCTCGTGATCGCTTGTGTTCTCTCTCTCCAACTTCAAAAGTTCTTCTCCCCAGATTTCACTCAAGTCATCTCTCAATTCTTTTGGTACTGTCCCTCTGATTTTTCTCAACAACTTGTGCGAGTGATGCGATATCCGAGCCAACCTCACGCACTTGGGCACTGAGAAGGCCTTGTCCACCAGTACTCTCTGGCTGGATGCTTCCACCATCATCATGTGCAGTGGGTAGTGACTTCCGCACAAGTTGGCCATCATTGACCCTATCAGCGATTTCGCGTTCAATGGCAAGCCATAAGCTTCGCTCATGGGAAATCCCATTTCCGCCTCGAGACCAACCTTCCAGCTCCGGATGTGTTTTTGAGTCACCTGCAACACCCCGGGCCATGATTCTACGCTCAACGCCGTCACTAAATGATGTTCAGATTCTAGTCTTTCCAGTGACTGCAGACTACACATTCTCGAGAAGAATCCGAGAGCTGTCGCTATATTCACCGTGGTTCTCGCGTAACACTCCGCTACTATTTGCACTTCACTTTTCTCCCTTTCTGTTATGTCTTCGAACCAAGTGACCAGGTCTTCTTTTTGAAATGACAGTATTCTAACGCATGATCGTCCATCGCAGGTGTGCTCTCCGTTTCCACACGTCAAATCCAGACAGCTACCCGGCTCCAATTTCTTTGCTGATCCGGGATTACTAGTCTTTTCGCTTGGCTCTTGCATCTGAGGTGAAATTAGCTTATGCAGCACACTCAACTTTGCCAGATTTTCATCTTCCGTTGGTGCTAACCTCACTCGCTCGGTGGTTTCCTCGATCAGACTCGCGTGGGGATGTGGACACCAGGAGGGTCTTAATAGCTTCCATACCACTCCCAAGTTCGTGGTTAACAAGCCATTTCCATCGCCCATGTTCACTTCAACTCTCTTGTTTGAACGCGGTATGCTCACCACCTCTGGTGTTTTCTCAAGAATCAGGCCCAGGCTCGGCCCCTCTTTTTCCACCGCGTCTATTTCCATTATTCTTTCTGTCCAAAACTTCAGTAGCTCCGCTACCTCATGGTTTCTGTGGGCGCCTCCAGCTTCCGAGTCTAAGAAGGGGTTGTAGGCCATTCCCATCACTCCAGACACATATTGGTATTCCCCCTTCTCGCTGATTCTCGAGTACTGCTCTGACGAGGCCAGGTTACGGTGAACATCATGTTCTTCTTCGAACTTCTTATTATAAAACCTCCGTACCTCGTCTAGCTTCCTATGGTTCTCTAGGGATAGTCTGGAACCCTCTTCCTTCTCTATTCCTGTGCTCTGATACACGTTCAAGATGACCGTTGAGACTCTTTTTTCCATGGTTTTGCTTACGCTTGCTCTCTGTTGGCACGCCAGGATGGTGCTATCAGACATCATCGACATTATCCATCTCAAGAAACACGTGGCATCCTTTCTTCTGGCCAGGCTCAAGCCTGAGTTGTCCCTGGCTACGTGTTGCATCAGTGCCTGATACACATCTAGCTTCTTGCTTCCCAACTTCAGCCTGTCATACGAGGTCAGTGTTTCCAACTCTATCCCCACCAGACTCCAGGTGAACATTAATTGTCCTGCAGTTCTAACGAAGGGATTCGCCATTAATGGTGGTGCTGATGAGGGTGTCCTCATTGCTTCTTCAAAATGATCCTTCAACAAACTCTGCCAGGACCTCTTCAGATGATTTGCCATTTCTATTCTATTAACCTCGGCCTTTTGCTGGGTGGCCCAATTGCGTCGCTTGCGAGCTACTCCACTGTCCAACTTCTTCCAGCAGTCCTCCATTTCTTTCAATGTTTCAAGGGCCACCCACCACGTCCGGGAGGTGTTCCTCGTCTTGTTCCTTTCCAATGGATCACTTGTCACTCGCTTGCCCGTGGCCTGGTGTGCCTTCGAGATCCATTTTTTGCCGACATCTACTTCCCATGTCTGTCCGTTCCTTGAACCTCTCTTCACGTTTATCTTCTGAGGCTTGAAGTCTTCCTCCGATGTCGAACTGGTGGAAACCTCTATTTCCCTCTCTACTTCAAGTGGTCTTCTGAGCTCCGAGCTGCTCTTGTATGCCGCCGTCTTGCATCGAGCCAAAACCATGGGCGCCGTCTCTCTCAAGTTTCCTTCCGAAACAGCATCCACTGAAGGACTACCCAATCCTTCCACTTCTCTCTTCCTCTTGCGAGTCTTCACATCTCTACTTGAGGGTGTTGTGGCTACCATCACTGATTCGACCTCTCCATCCACTCCTTCCAACTCTTGCCTCCCCCCTGCTCGAGCCTTAAGGATATTAGTACTTTTAATCATATTACTAGTCCCAACCTTATCCCTTTTTATATCATCAACCATTTTATCTACAGTTTTTTGTCTCCGAGTAGAGCTGTCCTCACATTTTTCTTCTCTAGTCTTCGATCGTGAATTACTCAGCTCTACCAGCTTGCTCAGTAGCTCTTTTCTCGCCTTCTCATCCAGGCCCGTTCCTATCAGAAGCGGTTCTCCAAATCTTACGACTGTGTCCCACAGTTCCTCCTTGAATTTGTCCAGCGTCGTCTCGCTGCCCACTTCTTGATTGAATTCTTCCAAGAACTCCTGCAAGCATCGTCATTCAGTGATCCCAGGAATATGTCCCTGTTCCCTTCGAAAGTGTTCTTTTCCCTTTCCTCCGAGCTCAAGAGTATCATCCCCATATTGAAGGTCTCACTTGCCAAT